GGGGGCACAGGAGGGGGACACGGCCGCGACCTGTAAGAGGGGTCAGGGGTGGGGGGATTTTGTTCTTTCTGTTTCTTTTCCTGCTTGGACTGTGATGGGCTTTAGGGAAGAGTTTATCTGCCAAGGCAGTGGTCTTCCACCGTGCACTGGAACATACTGGTTTTATCCCAGCACAGGGTCCCGGCTGCTTTAGGGAGCCTTGGAAGGAAAGAAACTATGCTCGTATATAACCACTAAGTACTCCTGGACTTTGCCAAACAGCCTTGTCTTTCCCTTGCTGCTGCAGATCGTACCATGTCAACTCTTAACTCATCTATAAAACATCCTCGGATAACTTAATGCCTGTCGGGACTCTAAGCACATCGTACACAAACCCGTATGTACTCTGCCTCATGGCCCCAGACCCTGGCCTTCTAGGAGTAATTCTTACTGTAAGGAGAGATTGGTGAAGCCTACGACCTACGAGGAGTTGTGTCAGTATCCAGTAGCTGTGTTAGTAAAACACAGACGCACAGAGCCAGACTGCTGTGGTGGATATACACTGCTGTATATACATTACATACATATAGTGGAGAACTGTTTCCAAACCAGTTAGCCAGGCAAATCTCTATCATTCGCTGACAACTCGTTCCTGCTCTCCTTCACATGCCTGAAGATGCAAGGAAGAAAACTCCTTTCTTTTAAGAGCTATCTCTTCCTTACCTTCTGCCTCTCACCTTTCTATGAGCCTGCTTCCAGAGTGCAAAGCATCTTGTCCTAAAACACATCCAGAGAACTTGAGCCCTCCTTACAATCGATACCCGGACACTAACAAGAGGAAGAACTGATCACTGCCCCAGCTGCTAAGCCCTCTGCCCCAGCACTCCTAACCCCCTTTCTACGAACTTTAACCCCCAGCTCAACTCTTCCCCCGCCCTGCTCAGCTTCTGAAGTTCTGGATCTCGTACGCTGTTTGCACCTCAGAGACAAAAGCCTGCTCTGTTCACTTAAGGGACAGCCTTCTTCTCTCCTCTCATCCATGTTTAGTAAAATACAATGTATAACTGTCCAGTTATAGAAATGCACACCGTTGGTCTGCCTGGCTGAACCATTCATAGATTTTCAGACCATATTTTTAAGGTACAATAGCTAGAAATCAACAGTGCAGAGAAAGATGTGAATACATCTAATGATTATTTACCAACACCTTTCAGAGAGTTAGTATTAGCTTGATCCAAACATGATTACAAACTACCCAGATTATATTCATGTAGTAACTAGAGAATGGGGGGGAGGGCATGCATAAAAATCCCTTCCCCAGTAAAGACAAACCAACCAAGGTCAGCCCCGAGAACAGGAGATCAGACTCATTAGCCACAGACCCCCTGGCACCTGGCTGCTTCTCAACTGCTAACAGCTCTGCGCCGGGGAGCCTGGGGATGTTGGACACGTGCCCCTTCCAACTAGAACTTCTTCTGTACATGCTGCAAGGCCTGCAAAACTGCTTGGCACCTCGCTGTGGATGCCATATTAATCGTAATAGTGCATTTTTTAAAGTTTACTGGGAGAGGGAAAGTGAATTTAAACATGTTTTTATAATGCATACGTATTTTTTTCTAGCATGTATCTCCTTTAGCAAGTGCAATGCATTTTAGTAACTACATTAGCAAAGGCTAGAAGTATTCTTT